TTTGGCATATTTAAAATGGTTTTGCTAAGCGGCAGTTCCCCGCACAAACGCTTTAATGTATGGAGTTTAAGTTGGCGCAAAAAAGGTAAAGCAGATACCGCTTGCCAGAACACCAAAACGGAGTACAACAGTAATAGTGTTATACGCTGTCTTGTGCCACGCGTCCATTGTGAACTGAAAGCCCTCCCCATTGCTTAGTTCAGCTGCTATTGCGGAATGCTGCGGACCACGTGGGTGGTATAGGCCGTTTCTCTTTAAGCGTCGGATTGTTTTTTTTAGTGCCGCCGGGACCCCGCACAGACCTTGCCCCGACCACAGCACCACGGCGCGCTACTACCAAAGAATTTTTTTTTTTGCATATACCTGCCGTTTCTTTTCTTCTTGCGAGTGTAGACGTTGCTTTTGGTTAATTTTCATGAACCACCACGCCGCAATGCCAAAACAAACCCCCGGATTCATAACGCCGATCTTTTTTTGGAGGGAGAGTGGGCCCGGTACGCTTCTTCAAAGTTTTGGCTATCTTTGCCGCAAATTTTCCTTCCATTTTTTTGTAGTTCCCCGATGGCCCCGTGAATGTCATGAATCCGTTCCCCGGGATTTCATTTAGTTGCTTGAATGTTGTAAAATTTCTTGCCCAGCTGACGCCCAATGGCGATTTACACGCGTCCAACATTTTACCCATTCCAGGCCTGAATGGGTTCAAGATTGGAAATTGGCCCGGGTGTTTTTGAAAGCTGGGGTCGATTGATCCGGCGGTGGGGTGGTTATTGGGCGGCGTCCGCCGAAAGCGGTGCGGCGGGTGCGTTCTGGGGACACCCGATTCTGGGATCAAAAATGTAAAACATTTCCTTCGGGAATACTTTCACCCTCTTGTGAGCTTTAAATGGCCAGCGGGGTTCCGCAAAAAAGAAAAAAAAACACCCGGGGACCGCTTGGGAGAGCCCTTTCCAATTCATCTTTCGGGCTAAACCAAATGACGATTTGCTCGTTTATAATGTGCCTTTCGCTTTGTGGAATGGGAAAAATTGGAAAGTCCGGTTATGGGAGGAATCGGTGGATACACCCTTTGGACCGGTCATTCTGGAAACCGTTTTCCGGTAACCAAACCCTGCGGTTCTGTAAAAGCAAAACGTAGAACCAAAACAAATTCGTAGGTGTTTTCCATCAATAACACTTCCCCCGAGGGTGGGCAACCATTAACAATTTTGCTATGATACCCGCGCCGCTTAACGATCCGTGCATCGCGGCGTCGTTTTCAGAGGCCAACCGCATCGCAAAACGCACGTGGACCCCAACAGTATGGGAACAGCGAGCCACAATAATGAGAGGATCCGTCGCGTTTACAGTGCAGAACAATTTACAGAGTCAGGAAGAAGATATTCCGTTATTTATCATAAGTTTGAAATTGCAAAAAAAAAAAAAACAGCGCGTTGCAATATACGCGAACAACGGCCGCCATGATGGCGCCAAGGGGGCCGCCAACTCAAATATTTCTGGCGGGCCTGAAAAGCCAACGGCCGCAGACACCACATAAAAGAAGCACGCCCCATCTTGAGATAGGGGTCGGACATGGCCAGTGATATTCTGCCAGAGGAAAAGGATCGATTGGCTTTACGGCTGGGTTGGGTTACAGCCAACCGTTGGGGAGAAATAGAAAAACTTCAGAGAGAAAAATTTACACCGAAAAGTCGGGATTTGAACGCCATAATAGTGGATTGGGGAGTCCTTTCCCAAGATATTCGGGGGCGATCCAAACAGGGCCACGAGGCACTCGGTAATCGGTGAAGAAGGCGCACGGTGCGTCAAAGCAATCGTAAAAGGAATGGCGGATGACAAAAACTTTCAAAGAAAGGAATAAGATTTCATAGGAGTACACTTTAACCACAAGGAAAACACGGTTTCCCTAAGCTAAAAGAGAATAAAGAAGTTGCAAGAAGCATTATTATTGGAACGCTCAACAGTTGAAGAAATGGAGAGGACAGTTTCAAGCGCGATAATCGCGAGAGGGGTGTGGGGTGAATCTGTTTTCCCTTACTATTTTTTCTTAAAAATAGTGCGTCGGCGATTGTCATGTTAAAATTGGGGTTTTTTATGGCCACAAGATCAGGCAAATTTACCATCAAATGCGAGAGAAATTAGGCGAATTGGCTCAAAACATTTTCAGAAAACGAGCCAGTTCACCCACCACAGCAGTTGCCACCCATCGCCACGCTAGTAACGGAGACATCCATGTACGGGTGGAGAGCGTTGTTATTCAGGGATTAAGGTAAAGTTTTGGCGGCAGGTGGTGCATGGGCGCATTCACCCCACACATGATACCCCTAGCGGAGGTGCGTGCCGTTCATCTCGCATTACACGGTTTTAAAATGCGTCTGATTGACTGGCCCCTCGGATATTCGCATAGTCACAGCCTAGGCGGCGAAAGCCTAGGCCGTAGAGTTCGCGCTCGCACGGAATATGAGTTCCTCGCAGTTACGTCGCATCGGAGGGCTTTACTGCGGACGGCATGTCTAGATGGAAAACCATCGAAAAAAAAGGACGTTGCAAAGTGGTGGAACTTGCGATGGGGAGAGCAGGAAACGGGTTAAAAGGGTTTCCCAGCACTTCTATTTCGCCAGTTCTGGCTTTTATTGGGGTGCGGCCGTCGGGGGTAAAGAAGAAGGGGATGTATAAGTTGGGTTCTGGGGAATGGGCGTCCAAGGCGATAAAATAACATAATTTCTATTTTCTTCTCTCTGACCTACCTTTTGATACGCTTCTAGGTGGAATTAGGGTCGGACATTCCGTTTTGCTCTCTTTGCGATGCCCCGGCGGTTTCGCTAAAAAGGAAGGCGCGGCCCCGCGACAAACGCCGTGCGAAGAACTTCCGGCCGTCAGGGGTTTTGTTCGACCACGCTTCCGGGACCCCGTCTGAGGGCCGTTTTTTGCGTGCCCTCGCCGTCCCGCAGGTTTGCCGCCGAATTTTTTTTTCAGGGGTTAGACCAAATGGTCGGGCGACGTTTTTCCCGGAACGTGGGAGGCAGCCGGGGGGCCGCCCCGGAGAAAAACAAAAAGCGCGGCAGTTCCTCCACGCTCCGCGATGGTGGTTTTTTCGCCCGCCTCGTCGTGTCGCAGGTTTTTTCCGGACGGTTTCGGGGAACTTTGCGGTCGTGTTTTCGTGAGGCTGGGCGAAAAAAAAAAAAAAAAAGTCTGCGGTGCACGGTGGCCTTGGGCGGTTTGTCGGGAAGGACAGTGGGCGGCAATTCTGAGTTTTTTTTTTTTGTGTTACCGTCTGGGTGTGAATAGGGTGCTTGGCGTTGTTTATTGCGCATGGTGACGCCGTGTTTTTTGGGGCGCACCTAGGGTTTTTCCGTCGTGTTGGATTGTTCAGGATTTCAGGGGGTTTCGTTTTTTATTTTTATTTGTTGTCATTTTTCTAAGTGTTCATTCCATTGTTTCTGATAACGTTTTTTTTTGTTTTCGTTTCGTGTCGGCCGTCTTTGATGATGGTTTGAATGCTGTTCATTATTTCGAAGTATTTATGACGTTGTTCGTTGAAATGTGATGTAATATATTTTTTTCTTTTTTTTTTCTTGTTCTCCATTCTTTTTTCTTTTTTTAATATCTTTTATTTCTCTCCTCTTATGAACTATTATATTTTGGTTGTGAATTTATTATATTACTTATGGAAACTGTGTTTTTTTCGTTGGAGTTTTATTGTATGTTCTTTATTTTTTTTCCCCCGTCTTGATCTAGTTGGTATTATTCTATTATTTTTCTTCTTTTGAATTTGTAAAAGTAAAATACATCTGAGTTGGAACTCTTCATATCTCTAAAAAGTTATGATTCACCGTATCTCTTCAGCTGAAGAATATGCAAATGTAAAGAAGGAGGCAGGCAATTATCTTGGTCTGGTAGTACATTTTAGCGCAGTTTGGTGTGAACCTTGTAAGGAAGTAAATAAAGCTCTTGAGAGTTATATTCCACAATATAAGGATACTATTTTATTCGCTGAAGTTGATGGCACAAAACTTCCCGAATTATGTGAGACTGAGGGTGTGGAATGTGTGCCGTTTATTGCATTTTTCAGAACCTCCCCAAAAGATAAAGGACAAGAGAGGGTGGCAGAAGTTGTTGGTGGTAAACTTGATCAGATAGAAATGAATATAATATCATTATATGGAAATGGAAACGATAGTCGAGATAAATTTTCTGATCTTCAAAGTTATCTACAATATCTAACAACGCGAAAAGGTGTCGTTGCATTTATTACAGGTACACCTTCAAGACCTCGTTGTGGGTTTACAGGTAAACTTGTTGAAATGTTTAATGAAATTGGAGTGAAATTTATTTACTACGATGTTTGGGCAAGTGATGAGGTTTGTGAAGGTTTAAAGAAGTTTTCTGAGTGGCCCACGTTTCCACAGATTTATGTCGATGGTGAACTTATTGGCGGATATGATATTTGCCAACAATTAAAAGAATCAGGGGAATTGAAAAAAACATTAAAATATTAATGTACTCTTTTATTTTTATATATATAGGGTGTTTTTCGGATTTCTCAAGTTTTTTTTTTATTGTACTTGATGGTTTCTCCGGGTTTTTTTTTGTTTTACTTTCCATTATGTGAATTGATTCTTATTTTTATTTTTCCCCTGCTTATTTGTTTTATTATATGGTTTTTTTTTTTCGTTATTGAATCTACCTCTTTTAGCTTTTAACAATAAAAGAAAGTAGTTGACTGTGACATTTTTTTCACTTTAGATATGGCGTTTTTTTTGGATTATCCACTGAATATGGTGATTACTTCAGAATTATCTGGCATTTATTTGGATATTAACGTATTATTCCGATCTACATTACATGAGCTTTAACTATTTTAAAGCTCGTCCTTTATGAATGGAATTCTCTTCATTTTGTCAATTGCAAAAAACATGGATCTGAAAAGAAGATTGGTTTAATTCTCATTAAATCATAGTTACCTATACATCTTTTGCCGGTTTGGATTTGTGTCTGGCGTTTATTATTATTATTATTTCCACAATACCAAAAGAAAAAAGAACCCGGATGTATTTGTAAGGGAAATGGTTTCACAAAAAATTTGAGAGTGGATAGTAAAACTTCTTGAAATAATGCCTATTTGGTTGTTCATATATGTGTTTTGTGAATCATGGGGATCTTCGAATTTAAATTAATGGGAGAGACTTTTTTTTATTCTTATGGGATTATTGAGTTTTTTGATTGACTGGGAATTGGCTCCTATCCATATTAAAATCGTGGTTCAGAGGCCATCTGAAAATATTACAAGTTCGTTTGGGTGTTTTTCTTTTGGGGAGAAAAAATGACTCATTTTTATTTTTATTTGGCTAAAGGGTTATTAAATGCATGAAATTTTTTTTTGGTAATTTTAAATCTGAAAGAGATAAATTAAAAGTTTGTATTTTGTTCGATTATTCTAGTTTCAGTTTTTTTTTTTGTTTTGTTTTTCACCTCTCTTTCAGAAATATATAAAAATATTTATATATTGGAAATCAAGTAATGGATTGGTTTAAACCTTGCTTTCGTATTGTAAGAATACATGGTGACGTTTTTTATTATTTATTATTTATTATTATTATAAGTGTAATGTAAAGAGTAACTTGAGAAAACCCATCCCACCCCATTCCTTACTGAGATCCTTTAGAAGAGTGGGTTTGGCGCGTTTTTATCACTTTACTTTCTTAATTGTTTGGTGATTCTAAATAATGTGCTCTCATCATGAAATTATTGTGATGTTTGTGTTTTGTAAACATGTACTGGTTGAGAAATAATAAAGAAGAAGAAAAAAAAGTATACTTAATATTTGTTTCCTATTTTTTTTTTTAAATCTTTCTATTAGAGAAAGCAAGACGTGATACATTTCAGGTTCTGTTTTTTATCTTTTTTTAGCGAAGAATTTTCAATTTCTTTTCTCTCCCTTAAAGCACATATGTCTGTTTTAAGTACTTTGAAACAATGGGCATCGGGAAATGTTGGTGTTATTGTCAGCAATACAGTTTATGTTATTATGCTTGTTACACTTGCGAGATATATTGCGCGTCGGATTGCATTTCACAATGGGTACATTACAAAAAAAATTAAAGTGGCTGATCGTTACATTGATGTAAACGCAGAAGAAGAAGCAATAGCTGAAGATATTGTAGATCCATCCCTTATAGATGTTGATTTTGATAGTGTTGGCGGATTAGAAGATGTAAAGAAAATCTTAATTGAACATCTTAAATGGCCTATTACTAGACCAGAATTGTTTGCTGGAAAAACACTACGATCACATCCAAAAGGTGTATTACTTTATGGACCTCCTGGAACAGGAAAAACACTTTTGGCTCGTGCCTTGGCAAAAGAACTTGGTTGTATTTTTATTAATGTACGAACAGAATCTATCTTTTCCAAATGGGTAGGAGCTACAGAAAAAAATGCTGCCGCTATTTTTACACTTGCAGCTAAACTTTCACCATGTGTTATTTTTATTGATGAGATAGATTCTCTTTTGGGATTTCGAAATAATATGGATGCTGCACCACATAATCATGCAAAAACAATTTTTATGACCCGTTGGGATGGTATTGCTCAGGATTCTTCAAAGGTTCTAGTAATAGGAGCAACAAATCGACTTGCAAGTATTGATGATGCTATTCGAAGACGTTTACCTCTTCAAATTGAAGTACCTGTTCCAAATGAAATAGCCCGAAAAAAAATTTTATCTATTCTTTTGGATCATGATATAAAAGATAGTTCAGAAAGAGAAAAAATTGTTCAGTTTGTTGTTTCTAAAACTCATGGATATACTGGATCTGATTTAACTGAATTGTGTAAAGCAGCAGCATTAATACCTATAAGAGAAATGGGGGAAAGTGGAGTTATACCCCCTATTGAAAAACGTCATTTTCTTGAAGCATTAGAACGTGTTCGCCCATCTCTTTCATACTGAAACGTAAATAAATTTTTTTATTTATTTGCAAGACCTATTCGTTTGACTCGTTCCTCATTTTATGGATTAGGCTATGCTTATATATATATTTTTTTTTCTTTCTATTGCTGGGATGTCTCTTCAATTTTTAGAGGGTTTTTATTTATGTTGGGGAGGTTATTAGCACAACAGTTTGAAAAACAAGGATTACAATATGAAGAATCCTCTGGAATCCTTTGGTGTTCTTTATGTACATCTTCTGAAGGATTAGTTGTAATTGAGAAGGCAACAAAAGAAGATGTATTGGAACATTGTAAACTAAAACGACATATGATTGCAATGGAGAAAGAAATTGCCATTGAACAATATTGTCCTGTGGAAATAAATGGTCGTCAAATGCTTCTTGATCATCATTGTATTTATCCAGCTCGTATGTTTGGGAAAGGAACAGTAATTTTGGATGAAACTTTGGGGTACATAATTGCAGAAGATGTCTGTGGTGGTGTGAAGTTAATTCCTCGACATAAATACACAGTAGTAGAACTTATAATTCCTTCAAGTATGGCCCCTTTGCCATATGAACCAGATTACTTTGTTGAGAGGTCTATTCGAAGCAAGAAACGCAGAGCTGGGGTAAAAGTCTGGATAGAGCAACACAACGTTTCTATACAAGGTGAAACGGCTGCAATTAAAAGAAAACGAATGCTTTTTCAAGAAACAGTCGTATAATGTGCGAAGTTCATTTTTTTTCTTTGTTTTTTTTTTTCTTCTTCCTTTTTTATCACTCTACAATTTCCCACTTCAAATTAATTGTATTAAAAAAGATATTTTAGTGGCGTTTTTTATTTATTTATTTGTTTTCTCTAAATTTTCACTTTTTTTTTATTTTTATTTTTGTTACTCTTTCCATTTTTTTTTAAATTTATTATGAAATGTTAGGTGACTTATATGAAACGTTTATTAAATGGCGCAAAGCATTTGCTAAACGGTGGGAGTCTTGGTTATCTCGCAGCAGGTGAACCATATCAACCTTTTGGAGAAGAATTTGGATTAACTGTATTTCCAGACTACCTTCATGTGGGGGAGAAAATGTCCTTACGAAAAGGGTATGTAGATGTGTATATACAAAAATCTGCATCAATTAGATTAAGTGATGGTCGTTTTCAATTACCACCACTTCCTCCAAAATCTTTTATATCGTTAATAGAACGTATTGAGCAAGATAAGATAGTGCCACGCGGATGGTTAAATAATCAGACGGCAAATCTTTATGAACCTGGTGACTTTATACGTGCACATATTGATAACCTTTTTGTTTATGATGATATATTTGCTATAGTTTCTCTTGGTGCTAATGCTTTACTACGTTTTGTACATGTGCAAAATGGAGAGGAATTAGATGTAGTTGTACCAGATGGTAGTTTATATATTATGTCCGGACCTGCCCGGTATGTGTACTTTCATATGGTTTTACCTGTAGAAACTCAACGTTTTAGTATTGTATTTAGACGATCTATTTTAAATTCTGATGGTGGATTTAGACCAGTAACAACACCATTGGGAGATCTTATGTCTTATCGATCAACACAAATTTTAAATACTTTGTATGCGAAACAAATAGGCGGTGTACGTGTTACAGTAGATGATAAATACCTTGAAAAAGAAGAAATAGGTGCCTTTGATACTGCAAAATGGGTAAAGGGTTTACATCCACTACGAGATTGGTCCTTATTGTCACAGTTGGATGAGGATGAAGCTAGAGTACAGGAGTTGAAGAATCAACGTTTTCTAGATGTTGATCTTAGTTGGAGGTTTGCTGAATTAAGGAAACAGTACAAGGAACTAGAAAGTCTCCTGAGTATCTAAGCTTCAACAACAAAAATAGTAATAATGATTATTTTATTGACATTTTGATATGAGAACGACTACTATTAGAGTTGTTTTTCCTCTTATCCTCCTCATTACCATCACCACCACCAATGTTATTACTACTTCTCCCGGAAATACTCTCGTTATCGTTATTATGTTCGTTTTTTTTTCTTTTGCCTTTGAGGTATATATATATTCCTCTGTTTTTTTTTTTTCTTTTTTTTTCTTTTCTTATTTCTTTCCCTACGTAATTTACCCGCAATAAGGGTCTGAAACTGTGGGAAGTTGAGAGATTGATTAATCCGACGTTTGTCAGAAAACAAGTGCACATATCACGCACAGTCACAGATTCAGATAACTTAAATAAAGGAATGACTGGGGGTGAAGCCTCTGGAAAGCAGCAGAGTTCTCTGGATGAACCCCCTGCGAAAGTTGCACGACATGAAAAGGAAAGTCAGGAACAGGAGAGAGTCACACTTTATATCCGTTGTGCACAAATACATAGTAGAGGAGAGTTAATGAATAGTTTTTTGGCTGAACACCGAGAAGAATTAGGCATTCAAGGGTGGTACAACACAGAAGAGAATACTTCTACATCATCTGAGTCCACCATTTCTCTTCGTCCTGATGCCCCTGTTGAGTGTGTATTTATGAAGACCTCACGAAAACCCTATTTTCTTTTAGAGTGTACAGCTAATAAAAAAGATGCCACTTCAGTAGTAGAGAAACTGATTTTACTTCATAACAAGACCTACAAAGATCATCCAGTAATTATAGAAATTGCAAAAGATGGTCTTACGGTATCTGGAGAACGAAAAAAATTAGAATTACGAGATGCTGCGAAACGAACACCAGTTGCATCTTCCACATCTGCACCTGTGGGTCCTTCTACCACCACTTCTTTTGTTCCACGTGTTTTGTTGAAGAGATGAGACCCATATTTATATATATATGTTTCTTAAATCATTAAATAAGTGGATTTACCTTTTTTTTTGGGCTTTGGCTTTTTTTCTTTTGTTTTTTATTTTTTTTACGCGTAAATATGTTTTTTACGCTCTTTCCAACTTTTTTTTTCTTTTTTTTTCTTTTTTGGTTAACTTTTTCTTTTTCCCTATCTCTATTGGAAAATCATTTGCTATGATTTTGGAAAGTTCGTTGTGCAATCCTTTTTCTTTCTGGATTTGTGAGTACGAACATTTCTGAGGCTGAGGCCGGAGAGACGAGAAGAAAGAAGCTGTGGAGTGGAGGCGCAATCATTAACAGCGAAAGGGAAAGAGAGGGAGTGAAAAAAGAATTCCTTTTCCCCTTTCCCTCATACATCAAAACAAAAGAAAAAAAGAACAAAAAGGGAAAGAAAAAGAAGAAAATGACGGCGTTGCGTTGGAAGGAAGAGTGGATGCCATCCCTTTCTGAGATTATCTCGACATGGCGAGATGTTCAACTCAGTGCTCTCCAAGATGAGACAGCTTGTGATCGTATTCTTGGTAATCATGAAACCTTAAAGACAGGACGTGAAAAGGTACGAAATCTGACCAAGACTTTCTCTCATTTCGATAATGAAAAAAAACTGAGTGAGTTTAATTCTCTTTTAAAAGAATATCAAGGGTATATTGATCAATTAACAGGATATTTAAAGGATGCAGAGAGAACCTATCTTGAGATGTTTAACCGGGTAAAAGGTATCCCTGATCCATATCCACTCTTGAAGAAGTTATCTGCAGAGATGGAAAGTGTTTCAAAATTAATTGAAAGAGCGGAAGCCTGTGATGCCTCACGTGAGGAAGTTCATTTACTTCAGGTGGAATTACAAGGACTGAAGGATCAGGAAGTGACGATTGAACGTCTACGGCGAGAACTTGCGGAAGCTAAGAGGAATGCTTCATTACATGCAGAGCAAAGTGCGCAAGATGCGACTGTGGAATATCAAGTCCTTTTATCACAATTACAACAACAAAAACATGAAATGCAACAAGAAATTCAATCTCTTCGTCATGAAATTCTCAAGAAAAACTTATCGATAGAAGATTTAAGAAATCAAGTGGTAGAGCTTCGTGCTTCATTAGAAGAAGTGGAAGCTCAACGCAGTCGTGATATAGCGGAATTGGCAGTAGAGCTTGAGGTGTCTCAAAGTAATCTTCTTAAAAAAGAAGCTGAGATACAGCGTCTTCTTGCGACTAATAATACTAACACTGGTATTCATAAAAATACTCTGGTGAGTAGTGCTCCTGCTCCTATATTAGAGACACACCGTATGGAAATAGATGATAATACAGATGTCGTTTCCGTTCCCTCTAAAGAAGAACAAGTTGATAATGAATTTGATTTGCGAGTTGTTGAAGATCCACCAACATTAATATGGGAGGACCAAAAGAAAGAAATAATACAGCGATGTGAAGGATTACAAAATGAATTAAATATACTACAAGAAAAGTATGATGAAATTATTAAATCCAGTGGAATTCAATTACGTCAAAAAGAAGAAGAACATAAACGTGAATTAGCACATGTACAGGAACTTCAAAATCGTTTGCGATCACTTAATTTGTATGTTGATCAGCTAAAGAAGGAGAAGGAACAGCTTTCAAGGGCTGTCCAAACACTTGAAGGGGAATTAAATAATTTAAGTAAAACATCTAATTATTCTAGTGTAGACATTAGTTTGGGTACAACATCTTCTACAGGGCGGGGAGAACAAGTGCGAGTTGAAATACGAGAGAAGGATGATTATAGTTTTGAAAAACTTCTTTCTTCAACTCCTACGTGGCAAGTTGGAATTAGTGATTCTGTAAAAAAGAAAGAAAAGAATGAAGAAGAAAACGAAGGACAGAAAGAGGCGTCACCTTCATTAAATGATGCTGAGAAAGATCCATTTCTTATTGTTGCATCTCAGAGAGATAAGTTACGTGAACGACTTCTTACCTTAAATGAAGTATCATCATCACAGATTCATGCATTAAAGTTAGAGGTGGCGAACCTTACTAATGAGAACTGTACACTTCGTAAACAGTTATCAAATTTTTCAAATCGTGATAGTAGTTATTCTAATGGTTTTGGAGACTCTATTTTTGGAATTCCCATCTTGACTGGTACTGAAAAAGATGACGGTCTTCAAGCTAAAGGAGGTTTTCCACAGCTTGTGGATACTTCTGGTGGTATCTTTTCTCGCCGTACAACGTTGAATATTCTTGACTACGGAGCTGGTGTACTTTCTATGCGTGTCTTCTCAACAACTGTGGGAAGAAGATCTTTTGTGGTTTATTTGGCTCTTTTGCATTGTTATATGGTTTATTGCTTGCTTTTCTGATAGGCGATGTGTGTTTCTAAAGTGGGTGGTGGTAATGGTAATAGTAGTAGTGATGATAATGATAATGATAATGATGATGGGGTTGTGTCGTCAAGTTATGCTCCTCTCTCTATTGTTTTTCTTTTTTCTATTTTTTTTTTTCTATTTTTTTTCTTTTATTATTTTATTTTTTTTGTGTTTATACAGACATTATGCGACATTCAACCTATCTTGAGGTGTGTCTTGGAAATATTGCTCATAATGTTAACAATATTCGTCATTTAGTTGGCGAGGCGAAACTTATTCCCATGGTAAAAGGTAATGCATACGGTCATGGAATTGAGAGAGTTTCACAGTTTCTTCATGATGTATGTGGGATGAATAAACTCGGGGTAGCTTCCCTTGGTGAGGCACTTGCTATTAGAGATAAGCAACCCAGTATTGCAAAAAGTACTAAAAGTGAGATATTTGTTTTCTCAGATACAGAAATATTAAATGAGGGATTTCATCATTACTACCAGGCAAGTGGACAACATGGGGTACGTCTCACGCCTATTTTAGGGACAACCACACAACTAAAGAAGTTTTGTACATCTTCTGCATTCAAACGATCAAAGTTATGTCTTAAGGTGAACACTGGTATGAACCGATTGGGATTAAAACTAGATGAGATTAAAAATGTTATTCCACTTCTAAAGCAACGAGGTGGGGTAGATCTTCTTTTGCAACACTTTAGTGTGGCAGTATCCCTTGATCGATTTAATGAAACCATTGCCCATTATGATAACTTTCGAAAAGTTAAAGAACTTCTTTCAGATAGTGGTGTTGAGGTGCGAGCGACGTCAGTAAGTAACTCTGGTGCTATTGAACAACAAATTGGTATAAATGAAGATTATGTTCGTCCTGGGATTATGCTTTATGGTCCACGAAGTGTTCGTTCCAAGATATTATGGAATGGATATCCCGCTAGCTATTTCTACACAAAGGTCCTTCGCCACTTCCCTGTACGAAAGGGTGAAGGAGTGGGATATGATCTTTTTCCTGCACGTGAGGATGGAGTGATGGTATTACTCCCCATTGGGTATGCAGATGGATTACTACGATCTTATCAAGGTATGCCTATTACTGTAACCCCGCATGATGCTCAGGAATCCATTACAGGAATTCTGCATGGAATGGTGAATATGGACATGGCAGCAGTAATGGTGTATCCTAAAGAAGTTGGAAAAGATATGGGAGAGATCATGACAGCTGTAAAGGATGAATCTCGGATATTGGTTTGGGGAGGCGATATTGGGGAAAAGGCCATAGCTGTAGGTTCAATTCCATATCAGCTCATGTGTGGACTCTCTATACGTGTACCACGAGTATACAGGGAATCTTAGTAGGACTGTCTCTCTTTTTTCTTTTTTCTTTTTTTTTGTTATTCTTCCATTTTTGTTTCTTTAGTTTTTTTAAGTTTGACTCATGTTAGAAGATTCCGTAGAGTTCTGTATGATTGACCTTGTAAATAATTCTAGGGATTTCTACGTTCTTTTTTTTTCTTTTTATTTTATTGTTAGCGTGATTACCACCTTGAGAAAAAAATTTTATGTTCGTTTAAAATTCCTTTCTTTTTTTTTTTTATTTATATTTATATTTATTTTGGTTTTGCGAAAAAAGAAAAAAATGGACTCCCAATAACTTTTTTCGCAACTCCAAGACCTTCGTGACGAAAGATAATGACAATTTGATAAAAATAAGAAAAAAAAAGTATATATATATATATATTCTTTTCCCAACTCCACAGATAAACCCAGCAGTTTTTTCTTTTTCTGCTTTTGCTTGATTTAGATGTTTGTGTGTTTGTGTTTGTCAGTTTGCCCTGTGTTTTAAGGTGTATTTGTGGATGTGAAAACTGTGTGGTTGTGTATTTACTCCTCCATTTTTAAAATGAACTCTGACTTTGCAGAAAAGGGATGACTCTCTCCGAGCTGCAGTTAACATATTATTATTATTATTATTATTATTATTATTATTATTATTATTATTATTATTATTGGTGCTTTTGAGAAGAAGGTGAAGCCGAAGAATTCTCTGTTCAGGAGGGATACTCTTCTATTAATATGGAGTGTATTCTTTCGTTCCACCCTTCTAGAAAAAAGTGAAAAGTGTGAGATGATAATAATAATCAAGAAGAAGCAAAATCAAGATCTTTTTTTTTTTCTTTCTTTAACCTCACTTTCGTGAGGATTTATGTCTGCTTTTCTCAATGTGGAATAAAAATTAGGAATGGGAAATGCTGTCCCTTTGTAAATACAGCGTGTTTGGTTTTTATTAAGGGCCCTTTACTTTATGTATGGTGATAAGAATACAGGAATATATAGTGTGTATATGTGTATGTACTTGGATGTGTACTTTATACACATGTGCAAAATATGTCTTTATCCAGGTGAATGACTTTTGTTGAGTTCTTGTTGAGTTCTTGTTGTTTTTTTCTTTTTTTTTTCTTATATATATATCTATATTATTGACAGGACACACTGTGCCCGCCAAGATGGTTTTTTTTTCTTTTTCTTCTTTCTTATTCTGGGCCGTGTTAACAATGCAAGTCCACCACTACTTTTATAATTCGGGTGGTGCAGCGCATACGAGAAAACAATGGCTGTGCTCAGCGAGTTGCGCAGAGAAAGAATTAGAAGTACATAAAGAGAGTGAAGTGTCTCTCTTTGTTTGTTATTCCCATATATATATATTTGTTTTTTTCTTTTGAGTATTCACTTATTTGTGTCTTTATGAATTTTTTTCTTTCCTTCTCTCCCTTTTTTTTCTTCTGTTTCTCTACTTCAAAGAAAACCTCACAGAAGTCAGCACAATAAAATAGAAAAGACAGAAAAGAGAAACCAAGAAAAAAAGAAAGAAGAACCGAAAAGAAAAGAAAAAAAGAAAGAAAACCAAGAAAGAAGAGAAGGAAAAGAAAGAAGAGAAGGAAAAGAAAGAAGCAGGACCCAAAGTCAACAACAGAAAAACAAACAAACAAACAAACAAAAAAAAGAAAGACCGTATTCTACTTTATTCATGGCCCTTCGTCGTATTCAGAAAGAGCTGCGGGATCTGGAGCGGGATCCTCCGGCGAACACCAGCGGCGGTCCCATCAACGAAAACGATCTCTTCAACTGGAAGGCAACGATCATAGGCCCCGAGGACTCACCATACGCCGGGGGTCTCTTCTTTCTCAACATCCACTTCCCATCCGATTATCCCTTCAAACCGCCCAAGCTGCAATTCACCACAAAGATTTACCATCCCAATATCAACAATAATGGTGGGATCTGTTTGGATATTCTGAAGGACCAGTGGTCGCCCGCCCTCACCATCTCGAAGGTGCTGCTCTCCGTCTGCTCGCTCCTGACGGACCCAAACCCGGACGATCCACTCGTGCCGGATATTGCCCGCCAGTACAAGACAGACCGCAACGCATTTAACAAGACAGCGATGGAGTGGACTCGTCAGTACGCGATGTAGGGCCACGGGAGTGTAGCGGCAAAGCTGGAAGAAGATGAAGAAGAAACAGCAGTGGCAGCAGTGGCTGGAAATGTTGAGGAGGTGGGAATTGATGGGAAAGGCGCTCATTGGTGTGATACGAAATTAGCAGATAAACGAGAACGATGCAGAAAAGAAAAAAAAAACAACAACAAAAAAGAATACACAGAAAATGAAAAAAAAGAAGAAGAACAACAACAACTTCTTCCACCCAACACCATAGCCGAAAAAAACAAACAAGAAAGGATATGTTATTAACACCAAGCGGAGAAAACAAAAAAAAAGAAATGAAGAAGATGAAGAAAAATTATCTGGTATATTATTATTATTATTATAAAAAAAAAAGAAGAGTGTATGTTGGAAGAACGTATGGGCCTACTTAAACTGTACTTGCTTTGTACTGCGTTTGGGACGCAGCGTTAGGGCGGTGATGAAGAGGGGGAGGAACATCCGGAGGAATAAGAGAAAAAAAAAGGAAGAAAGAAAACAGGGGCGAAGGGGGGATTGAGATAGGAAAAAGAAAAAAAAACAGCTGTATGGTATATATATATATACTATATATATGTTTGCTATCTAAATCGTCTGGGCCATGTGTGTTCGCTCTTTGTATGTGATTGGGATGTGGTCTCTCCTCCTACTGTCCTTCCTTTTTTTTTTCTTTCTCCCCGTTCTTGACGATTTATTTTCTTTTTATCACTTGCTCACTGCTGCTAAAGCAAAGAAGTTTCCTTATTCTATTGCTGTTACTCTTCTCAGTCGTTTGCTCCATGGTTTGGATGAAAAGGTCACTGTCACACATGTATACACTTATATATATATACAGACACCAAAGCATTTTACTTGCGTCAATAGAAAAGGAGAGAGGAAGAAAGAAAGAAAAAATGAAAGAGAGATAAAGAGAGGGAGAAAGAGTGGTTGGGGAGATATTTTTATGCTGTGTTTGTACACACATGTGTAGATGTCTTTCTCTCATTATCTCTATATCTCTCGATCTATCATATTATACCTTTGTGTGTGTATCTGTAGGGAGTATGATATTTATACGTGTTTGTGTATATGTGTGTGAGACACTCTGTGCCATATTTCAATTTCTTTGCTTTTTTTATTTTATGAGAAGGAAGATATAAGATGAGAAGAGTCATTTGGTAGAATAAGATTAGCGTTAGTACCCGAGGTCAATGTGGTTGGCTCTTGTTAATGTGAAGAGGAGAATCAACAAGAGGTGGATGGGCTTTCTTACTTTGCCTTTTATTATTATTATTATTATTATTATTATTATTATTATTATTATTATTATTATTATTATTATAATATTTCACTGCCTGTGCACATATGAGTTTGAGAACGTGACGGCATTTAGGGCAACAAATCAGAAGGAGCGGAAGAACCATTGGTAATGATGAAGTAAGAGAGCGAGAGAGAAAAAAAAAACAAACAAATGTTATTGATTGAAGGAGAAACATACTGAAAAGAAAGAAATACAGGATAATGAGAAGAAAAAGAAGAAAAAAGAAATGAAATCAAGAAATAATTGCCTTTTTTTTTATTCTTTTTCTTTTGTTGTGTGTATGCGGGAGATGAAGTTGATGAGATGAGATCAGAGGAATGTCAAGGAAGAAAGAAAAAAGAAAGCGGGATGGCCTCTAGAGTGTTGGGTTGAGTATACTCAACCCTCTCTATCACTAGGTAGAGGGAGAGAGAGGGGAATAGGGGAAAAAAAGGATTTCACAAAGAATAGTAACAAGAATACGAAACGAAAAAAAAAAGAAAAGGGAATAAAAAAAAAGAAAAAGAGAAACAATGTTTATTTGTATTTAGTACTTAAGGGTACCATCTCATCCTTTTCTTTTTTCTCGTTTCCATTTCTTTTTTTTTTTATTTCGTTTTTTTTTCTTTCCTTTCTTTCTTCCATTTTCTTCACATTTCTATATCATTTCTATATCATTTCTTTTTTCTGCATCATATCCATACACGGACTCTTATTATTATCTTTTTTTTCTCGTTTTCTAAATGTTTATTCCTTTTTTTTTTCTTCTTTTCTTTTTTTCCCGTCCGGTGGTGCCGTGATCTGCACTTTTTGTGATGATGATGATGATGAAAAAAGAAAAAAAAAACAAAAACAAAATGCCTTTTCGCTTTTTTTTTTCTCTCTCTGAAATGTAATGAACTGAAGCGCACCCACGCAATCACAGAGATACGTACGGCCCGTTATGATTTTCATACGAGACCCCACATCACTCGAAGAAAGCGAAAGAGAAACAAAAGGAGAAAATGACGTGTTGGAGGAATGCTAGTTTGATTATGTCTGCCGTTTCTGTTTTTTTTTTTTTTCAATATGCGTGTGAATTGAATACCCTTTACTCTTATGTCTTTTTTCTTTTTTTTTTTCTTTTTCTTTGTCTATTTTTTTTTCCACGTTCTCTATTTGTGTTTTCTTTTTTTTTTTTTTCTCTTTTTTTGTTTTGCGTCTTGAAGCTCTTCTATTTCTCTCTTTCTCTGTAAGGAGTTGGAAGGGCGTCCACAGAAGAAAAAGAAGAAGTGTTTCTTTGTTTTTTTTCTTTCTGTGTGTTGTCGTTCTTTCTTCGTTATCGAGAAAAAGAAAAGGGAAGGAATACAGTCGGCAGCAAAAAAAACAAAAAACAAAAAAAGAAAAAGGGAAAGATCTACATTCTCATATATATATATATATATATATACGAACACTCTTTCTCTCTTCTCTTTACAGAAAGAGTAGAAAGGAGAGGGGAGTGAGGGAATAGACTAATCCATTCTTTGTGAGTGTACAAAAAGAGAAAAAAAAAGGAAAACGACAACAAGACGAGATAATGAATTCCTCTTGCACCGAGAATGACTATGATCTCTTTACAGTAGACAGGACATTTATTCTCTCCCTCTTTCACGCCTTCTGCACGGCAGTACCAGATGATATACGAACCAAACTCGCCAAGTCTGAAGCCGATGCACTTCAATTCCTTATGGTTCTCCGGCCAAGACTGACGAGTTTTTCACACCGACGAGTGACTTCCTTGCGGCACCCCGCAGTTTCTATGGCAGCTCGACGTTATTTTAATGCCCAACGCACTGCCATTCGGGAAGAGGCACGTCTTCATGGTGAATTTGCCGCCAGCACACACACAATGAATCTTAGCACCAATACTGTTAACACCAATGTTGCGGCTCGTGCTTCTTGCGTAGGAAGTGTGACAAGTTCGGTAAACTTTAATGCGGATCAAACTAACGTTGGGTCTTTACCATTACCTTTTATACCGAATGTTCCGGCTATTAACATGATGCAATTGATGCAAAATAAGTGGAATCTACTAGGGCCTTGCTATGAAGTATTACTGAGAAACTCAAGACCACGTATTGTTGCGGCACAAGTTATCGAGGCGAATGATATGGTGAATGATATAATTTGCCGCTATTGGGAACGTATAACAGTTCCACCAGGTGAGTATGTCGATATGGATCAAAGTTTCTCATTAGATGTATCGGATAGCATAGGAGAAGGAGGAGGAGCCTCAACCTCTACCTTTTCACGTCGTTTTGGTGATATTCGTCGTTCCTACGCAACCCATATGACAGCTTTACAGTATGTTTATCTTAATCTTCGTATTTCAAGTGTGTTGCTACCACCAGATACACTAGAATCAGAAATGTTAGACTCTATTATTGTTGATCTTCGTATTGATGCTACACCGCGAAGAAAGCTGGATTGTTTATCCTTTGATAGACCACCACGGCTCTACGGACACAGAGACAGTGATGATGTACATGCGGGTCTGCATGGTTTGAACTCAACGCTCCAACGCCTGCGTGAGGCAGCGACTAGAGAGTTGGCACAGACAGCAGTTTCACTAGAAACAGCAGAAGGTGCAACATCTGTTGTCAGTAGTGAATCAGCAAAAGGAGATGCTTCAGAAGGTCCATCAACATTGGCGGCAACAGGAACAGGAACAGGAACAACAGCAACAACACCAGCAGCAGCTATAGGAGGAACAGATGCCGCGTCAAATGTAGATAAAAAATCAGTTATTGGTAATGATAATGTTGATTGCTCCCTCTCAAATCTACCGGATATAAGTTTTGGACAATTCTGGCGCTCTATGTTGGAGTTAGCAGATAACTGGACAAGTACTACACATCCAATGGAGCAAGCTATGTTTTTGATGGAACTCTATTGTGAAGTGTTTGCACATGAATGGGATGATGAGGATACGGCACTCATGAAGACGCTACGCACCACCGCCGCGGAACGCTCAACTCGTCGTCAGGATGACTTATTATCACTTTATGATGATAGTGACAGAAGTAGTTATATGATGTCTGAGTTTAATCAGATGCTTTCATCTGTAGCCGAATTCGCTGCATTCGGTACTTCATATGCACCAAACCTCTCGAGAAAGGGAGTCCGTTCTATTGTAGATGAATATATTAGTTCTGTACCTAGGATGTTTGCCACACCAGAAGGTAGTATGGATGGTTCTGGCAGCTTTGGAAGCATTCCTGGGGTGCGGCGTATTACAGCAGTGGGGACTGGCACAGCGGGTGAAGAAGAACGACGCTCTCATCGTCACTCCTTATCAGTCTCCTCATGGTTGATTACGGATAGTGGAAGTGGTAGTACATTGAGTGGTGAAGTTGAGGGAGAAGGTGCAGGAAAGCGAAGGAGACATGGACGGGAACGTGGTAAACGTGATGGTAGTGGTAAGAGACGTCGTCGGCGAGGTACGGATGATGATGATGATGATGTTTTGAGTGGAAGTGATGTGGATGCTCTGCATGCAGCGGACTCGAAGGATTCCTCCCTCAGCTTTGATTCACTCCTCACAGAGGGTGGAAAAAGACGTAGACATCACCTTTCAAAGCGTGATTCCTCTTCCATGGGCCTTGCAGGTGAAGATCATGAAGATGAGAAGATGAAGAAGAAAAAACTCCGCAGCGGGAGTGCGAGTGGTGGTGGACGTCGTAAACGAGATGAACATGGAAAGTCAAGAGATGGTTCGCGTCATCGCCTTCATGGAAGTAGTAGTGGTAGTGGTAGTGGTAGTGGTAGTGATGCTGGTGGTAGTAGTAAACCCCCGTGGGGAAGTGATTCTAGTCTGGAGTACTCAGTGCCGGATGAAGAACTCACACCACTCTCACTCTGGCGACGACAACAAGAGCGGGAAGCGCGAAGACGACGACGAAGACGACGTGAGAAGCAGAAACGTTCCTCGCAGGCGGGTTTGAAAGAAACGGAAGGTGCAAGTGCAAAGTTAAGTGCGAGTGAATTGGCGGAAAGACGTGCACGTCTAGTAGAGGCTCTACGTGCCAAAGGCATTACCCTCGCGGCGGACTTCTTGAGTGATGATGATATTATACAACTCACAAGTGATACAATAGATCCAGAGTTGCTGCGACGACTCATGCAAGGTGCCGGGTTTACACGAGATGAGTTAAGTGAAGAGGATTTTCTTCGTATTATGCTTGGAGAGGATGATCAACTCCTCGGACCTGGGGCGGATGCGGCGGATAAGAATTCTGTTCTCGCCGCCCTACGCAAACGCGTATCCCGCAATCCACCCGAAACCGCCTACGCCCGACGACGACGAGAGTTGCAGGAACAATTACTGCGCGAACAGGAAAGAGCCGCAGCTCGGGCCGCGAGAAGGCGAGAAAAGAGAAAAGCCCATCACAAAAGTCGTACCGATACATCAGAGTCGCCAAGTCCAGCAGAGACGCCGCTGACAGAGTTTGAATCCCCAAGCCCAAGTCCCAGTCCGGATACCGCAGAGTTATTTCCCACTGACCGTGAAAGAAAACGACGAGAAAAACAACAACAACAACAACAAGAAGAAGAGTTGGATATGGAGAGTAGCAGCAGTGATTCATTGGCCGGATTGTGGACATCGGCGAAACAAAGGGTGTTAACACCACCACCAGAGCGTCCTGGTTTACCGCGGCCGAATGCCTTTTTACCATCGCCTTCTGTTCCTCGACTGTTTATGCCGTCTGTCGCACCGGAGATTATTTATGATGAAGCACCAGAAGTCCATTTACACTCAGAAGAGAAATTGGAAATGTTTTACCGGCATATTAGGAAAGATCAGCCAATCAAAGGACGTGCCCCACTGTTACCACAAACCTCTATTCGTGGTGGTACCTATCATCAGATGTCTTTAGTACGCGCCCGCCTTGGGCAAGGAAAGCAGAAGGGAGAAGAAGAAGAACCGCAAGAGAGACGTTGTGCGCCTGTGAAACTTTTTTCACTTACGACAAAGACTACTTTTTCAGAGGCGTTACGCGAGAGTTTGCAACGATATGTGGATGATAAGACATACTTGGATACTCTTTATGGGAGTTATTCTAAGTGACATCCACTATGTTTTTTTCTTTTTTTCTTTTGAAAACAAAGAGGAAAAATTCCTTGCATAACACGCTCGCATTCTCTTTATTTTTCTTTGTTGCTTCTTCTTTTTTTTGCTTTTGATGTTCTATCATGTATATTAGCACCAAAGTGTTCATGATGTTTTTTTTTTTTTTCTTTTCCACATGTGTGTGTCTTTTTCTTTCTAACTCTCTTTCCCAATATATATACATACATAGATGTGTTTGTGTGTATCTTTATGACATATCTTGATACTGGAAAACAATACTATGCGCTGTTATCAGCTCCATTGCAGAAGTACTCTCTTTTTTCTAACAGTTTTTTTTTTTTTCTTCTTTCTCTCTGTTTGTGTGGGTCTGTCTGTTTTTTTGTTTTTTTTCTTCTTTCTTCTTAAAATGCCTGGAACTCTTCTGGTTTTTTTTTTCTTTTCAGTATTTTTATTTAGTAATAAGAATAACGCAAAGAAAAGAAAAAAAGGAAAGGAAAGGAAAGGAAAAAAAAAAAAAACCAAAATGACCACAGTACTGCATAAGGTAGCTGTGCTTCTATTGGTGTTCGCCACCACAGTGCTTCTCACCTCCACCCAGAGAGTTCATGCAAACGTCAATGACTTAACGGATGCGGATGATAACTCGGGTGTGGTGACTCTCCTTGATGATACCTTTGACGCCTATGTATTTCCAAAAGAGGAAAGAGTAAAGCCACAAGCATGGTTTATTTTCTTTTATGCCCCATGGTGTGCCCATTGTAAGTCTTTACTACCACAATTCACAAATGTTAGTCGTCTCCTGCGTGAAAGTGGTCTCCCACACGCGAAGTTTGCTCTTGTAAATGCGGTAAAAAACAAAGCCCTTGCCTCACGTTTTAATGTTGAGACTTATCCAACTTTTGTATACACCACTGGTAAAGAAAAACAATGGTATAAGTTCAATGGTGGTTATAGTGCTGATAGTTTTGCACAGTTTACAGTGTATCTACAGCGTGGGGTAGATGCGGGTTCATTCGCCGATATCGTCTCAGACCCACGAACATTTATGCAAGTAGAAAAGGAAATGATTGGTATGCGTGTACCTATGTTTGTATACGTGCCGCCGACGAATGCGGGTCCGAAGGATATTCCATCAAGACAACGTGAATCTCGACAGGCACGTTGGAATACCGCCATTGACGCTGCGATTTCATTAGGGAACATTCGTTTTGGTGTATTGTACGCCGATGATATACCGGCAGATTGGGCGGAGCAAGTTGGATCATCATCATCATTTGCAGCGATCTTAACAGCGGTCCGTAAAGGTTGTAAAGGCACTGGACCTAATGGGGAAATATTTATTGTCTACTCCGACGCCTACCGCACACCACAGTGCTATGAAGAGAGTCCATGGCTTGCAGAAGAGGATAAGAATAACAAGGATAAAAATAAGAAAAATGAAAATGGATTAGTGGAGTTACACCCACAATTTGCGGCTTATCTCACATATAATGGGTTTCGGGCAGTGGAGGAGGTAACGGGTTCCTTCTTTTCTGTTATCTCTAGTTTCAATCATCACTTCTTGGGACTTCTTCTCACCAATGGAACCTTATCACAATCCGATACTACTATGATGCCAGTATTACGAGATATTGTGCAAGCAAAAAATGAAAAACGACTTACAACTGCCACTATAGATGGTGATCATCATCATGATAATACTACTAATACTAATACTACTAATACTGTAGGGAACGGTAAATCCAACCGTCGTATCTCTTTGGCACATGCTGATACACTTACACAACCAGTGTGGAAGTTTCGTTATCATGTGGAATCGAATGAACTCCCCGCATTTATTGTAGTCGATCCACGACGTGATAAAGTGTATCGACTACGAGTTCACTCTCCACGATTTGAGGAGATCAAGTTAAATATACCGTGGAAGATTGGAGGAGAACAGCAAACGATCATTACACAGTTTCTACAAGATGTAGAAGAAGGTCAAATGCAAGGGGAAAAAATGTCCTTTATGGGTGATGTTGCCGAGTTCTTACTTCATTTACCTGGTATGGAGTTTGTTTACGAGAAACTAGGCTACGACGATGCACTGTTCGTTACCATGTTCTTTGGGTTTGGCTTCTTTGCATTTATTATGTTCATTGCAGTTGTGGTAGAGCCAATCATGGAACGCCGCATGAAGGAACAAGCGAAGAAGGCGAAGAAGGACTAAACCCCCTATTTCTATATATATATTTCAGCAAAAAGAAAAAAAAAAACGAAAAAGCGAAAACAAAGCAAAGGAGAACCCAATAGGCAACTCCCCACAAAAAAAAAAAGAAAAAGAAAGGGTGCGTCTCGAAAGTGAAAATAAAAGGGGTAGTAATGATGATGATGATGATAGCGATATAATGACTGCCAGATTATTTACGTCCCGGTGCATAGATCAGCACAAGGGAAAAGAGAAACATGAGGGGATAGATGGATGGATAGAGGGAGGGAGAAGGGATTGTTGTTAATTCACATTCACAATTTAAATTTTCAACATTATATTTACTCATGTATATTCATGTATACGTTATCTCATTAATATTGTCTGCATGATCTTTTTTACTTGTTTTCCATTTCTTTTCTTTTCCCCCTTCTTCTTCTTCTGTTAACTGTAAAGTACACTGAAAGGAAGTCAGCATTACTCAACGCTCCCTCTCTCTCTATAACTATTTATACATATACCTTTCTCAAGCGTATTACTATTACTATTATTTATTTATTATTTATTATTTTTGTTTTGGCTGTTGTTTCTCTGAGCCACAAAAGGGAGACGAAAACAAAAAAAAAAAAAAAAATTGCCATTATGTTAAGACGTTCCTATTTTCTCTTATGCCTGCCATTACTTTCCTCTGTGTACGGCAACAATTTCACGGTATCGGATCGTGTTTGGCGGCGGATTACTGAAAAGAACGCGGAGGAGGGATTCACAAATGACCGTCGATTCCTGCGATTGGCGATTGACTCCGGCGGCTGCCACGGCTACGCGTATAAATTTTCTCTCGAGGAGAATGACCAATTGGAGCCGGCGGAGGATGTTGTGGTCTCGGAAATAGATGCCCATCAACTCAATAGTAATAATAATAATAATAATAATAATAATAATAAGAATGGGAATAGGAGTGAAGGAGGAGATCAACAAGAATTAGAATCACAAGGGCCTCCACCGCGTGTGGTGGTGGATAAACACTCCGTGTCGAAATTACAGTCTGCGGTGATTGACTTTCACTCGGAACTGAAGGGAGCTGCTTTTGTGGTTGTGGGAAATGAACTGGTGGATCAGTCCTGCGCCTGTGCCATGTCCTTCTCATTGAAGAAGCGACCAGGAAAGTAAAGAGGAGATAAAGAGAGAGAGAGAGAGAGAGAGATAATATTCTATCTTTTTCTGTGTGTTTGAGTGAGTGTCTGAATGAGTGATGAGTGAGTGAGTGAGTGAGTGTGTGGGAATATTTGAGTGAATGAGTTTTGAATATATATGTGTGTATGTGGGTAAGGGAGAGAGGAAAAAAGGGAAGAACGAACAAAAGAAAAAAGGAAGGAGCAGTGGTGTCTCTGTGAGTGTGTGTTTGTGTGAAATGGGGAGATGGAAAAAAATGGAGTAAATGCCATTATTGGTGGTTATCTATATATATATATATATATATTGGGATTTAGTTTTAGTTGAATTTTCTTTGTTGTTTATTTTTCATAAACATTACAAGCCGATAGACAGAGAGATACACACATCCACACACACACACAAAGGTATATATATATATATATATATATATATATATATTGATCTGTATATAGATAGATAAATGACGATGATGATGAACTCCCAACAAGAGGAACAACAATATCGTATTATGCGGTTAAATCGCAAACCCGCTGTTGGTCCATCCCACCACTCCATTCCTTATAATGATACCGCATCATCTCCCACTCCCACTTATCTCAATAATAATAATAACAATGATAATAACAATAACAGTAGTGCTCATACAACCCCGACATTACAGTATTGTACTTCCCGTGTAGGGTTTGTAAACAGCAGAGAAACACCACACACAGGCCGAGCTGTCTTTAAAGGAATACGGGCCACGACTGTTCACATTGAACGTGGATCGGCTCGAGTGCAGGATGAGCCATTTCTGTTATTCGCCGGTCGACGGCCCGCCCCGAGTGGTGTTTCCACCGCCATGCAGCAACACGTCCATTTATTTCACGATCCAGTGAAGAGCAATGCAACCACCATAACGAGAACAACAACAACAATAACGACGACGACCACCACAACGACAACAACAAGAAGAGGAGAAAGAGAAACATCCTCAATCTTTACATCACCATCAAAATCAGAAGTGTTGGGGATGAATTCAAGGCGTACTCCTAATAATAGTGGTAGTGTAAACTACTGCCGTGAAGCCCGACTGGCAATGCTGCGTGGGAATGGACCATTATGGTGATTATATATATATATACTGTTATCACTATAGTTCCCTTTCATAGATTATTTGGGCATATATATATATATATATAGATTGCACAGCCCTTATTATTATTATTTTTTTTTTTTCGTCCTCTCTTTTCATTACTTACTTGCTTATGGGCTCACTTTCACTGTGAGATAGATATAGTAGAAGAGGGGCATAAATATAAATATATAATTATGAGGAAATATTCTTGTTTTCTCTTATTTTTTCCCCCACTGAGTTTTTTAAATGATTGTATCTCTTCTCAGGCTTATGAATGTATCTTTTACACTTTTATTCTTTTTCTTCTTTACTTCATTAGGGCTGAAGCAAGAGTGTAGCAGTGAGAGAATTCCAAAGAGGGTGAGAAACACACAAATAAGAAAAGAAAAGAAAGGAAAAAGAAAAAGTGATACTCAGAAACAAGAGCCACTCTCTCTTTTTATCCCATTCTTTCTTCAGCAACAGCAACAAGCATATCCAAAAAAAAAAAAAAAAAAAAAAAAAAAAACCAATTGCAAAGGAGCAATAAAGAAGAAAAAAACAAATATTATCTAAATATTTATATTTAAATATATTTATATATTTAAAGACAACGATATTGAAATAAAAAAAAAGAAAAAGAAAAAGAAAAAGGGTTCAGCTTCTAGCATTACACTAATCTCTCTCTCTCTCTCTCTCACACACACACACACACACACAGAAGTGTTGTCTAATGCCAACAACATCATCAAACGAAGAAGCCCCAATTATCATCACCGCACAAACACCACCGCAACAACGAGACAGTCGTGCCTCTAAAAACATTTTCTCTCACCGCTCACGCACCACGTCGCCCAAACGATGTGAGGCCCATTCTTCATTGGAACGACCGCCTGCCAAAACACCACCACTCCCATCCTTAAATAACACCAACACCAACAACACTACAGAAATCACAGATACTGCAGAAAATGCAGAAAGTACAACCATTAACAGAGTTGCAAACAACAACACTCCTCCTGCTGCTGCTGTTATTGAGAGTGGACCCACAGAAGAATCGACGGGGGATGACTGGAGAGATACACTTGGCAAAACGTACAGTGGGTGTACTTCCCATCATCATCATAATAATAATTTTCTTAATAGTAGTGGTAGTAGCAGCAATCACCACAGCCGTACAACCAGCGGGGCACCTCGATCTTTCTTGGGCCGATTTGTACACATGTTAAAATCCTCAGGATCGAGTAAATCCTCACGCAAAGGAGAGGATGGTCCACGGAATGAACCATACGATGATGAAGACTACGATCACACCCCCGCCCAGAAGAGTATGAACAGTGATCACAATAGTGGTGTGGAGGATAATCCCAATCACACCCCACTGGCAACCACAAAGACGGCCACCACAAGTACACCAGAAACGGAAGGAAATCTCGGCTGTACGAGAGAGAGAACAGGTGCAGATGGAGAAATGATAAGTGAGGAAAATGGAAACAAGGAGGAGGGTTATTACTACACAACAGAAACGGGGGAGGTATACTATGTGGATCCAACAGTATTGGTAGATGTTGGACACGAAGAAGAAGAGGGAGAAGAGGGAGAAGAAGAGGAAAAAGAGGAAAAAGAAGAACAACAGTTAGATGTGCATCAAGTAGTAAAGGGAAAGGCAGTGAAAACCCTAATCGCAGAGGAGTCCAAGGCACGAAAACGTCTACAGCAGGACTCTCTTATTGTTCTCGCGGATATTGGGAGAACATATAGGGCGATGTCGCGTTCGGTGACAAATGGAGTGCGGGATGAAAAGACATTACGACGAGTGTTAAAACGATTGGAGAAGGACGCAGTGAAAGGGGCTCGTGTGATAGAGGGAGAGTGGAAGAAGGAACACACAGAGATGATTCACACATTTCGTACTACCATAGAAGCATATAAATGATGGTTCTTCGATAAAGAAAGAAAGAGCAAATCAATCTCTCTCTCTCTCTCGCTCTCTCAGACTTTCTCCTCTCTCTATAGTATATATATATATATATATATATATATATATATATATATATATATATATATATTTCTATATTTCTATATTTCTATGTGTTATTGTCTATTTGAGTAATTATATACGTGAGTTTTCTTTACGTATATTGCCATATAGGGAAAAGATATTTCTTAACTCTTCTGGAGATTGTACTTATGTCTCTATCCCTGCATGATGATGATATATATTTATTTATTTATTTATTTTTCTTTTTGGATTAAATATTATTCTTCTTTTAATTCTCTGTATTGCCGAAGAAGAAGGATATGTTTTGTTTAGTTTTTTTTTTTTATTTGTGTTTTTTTCCTTTCTAGTTTTCTTTTTATTTCCCTTTTTTACTCATTGGTAATCCCTTTGTCTTTTTTTTTCTCTTGTAAAACGAAAAAAAAGAGAAAAATTAAATAAACCAAAAAAGATGGCTGTATTGGAAGGGGGTTAACTCTGATTGTTGTTGTTAGAGTTGTAACTCTTCCTAATCTTCTTAAACTGCTGCATTTGGATTGTCTCTCAAGGCATATGCAGGTACGTATGTTTAGTTGTGTCTTTTTATGTTCATGTATATGTGCGTTTTTATGAGGAATCAATTTTTTTCCTAATCCCTCTCTTTCTCTTACTGTTTATATTTCGCCATTGTATGTCATTAACTACAACAATCGGTAATACCCTCTCTTCTTCTTTGTGTATTTATCTATCTGTCATAATACTTATCTTGCCATTGCCCGCAACAACCTTCTCTGCGGCGGTAGTACCAATAATACGTACTACTACTAATTATTATTATTATTGTTAGTGTTATTATTATTACGGTTATTATTATTATCATTATTATTATTATTATTATTATTATTATTATTATTATTATTATTATTATTATTATTATTACGGTTATTATTATTACTATTTGCCGGTACATTTAACGTATTCTTTTGTTATTATGTTTATGATTACAATAATGATGATAATAATAGTAATGATTGTTTTTGTTACTCCGTTAACCTATACGTAGTTGTGATGTTTTTCTTCTCTTCTAATACACCATACATTTATTTTTTTATTTTTATTTTTCTTCTTTGTTGTTATTATAAACTAATTGCAAATGACTACACTGTACGTGAAGCCAAGTGCAAGCGCACCCCCGACTGGATAAGGAGAAATTCCCATTATCTACCCACAAAGTTAGGGAAGTAGAAAAAGAGGACAAGCCCCTTTTAAGAAGGAAACGATAAACAAAGAAGTAAACAAAAAGAAAAGAAAAAAAAAAAGAAAAAAACAGATTCGTCTATAACAAGACCGCAACCTCCATCCAAAAGGAAGAAACACAGATATATATACATATATATATATAATAAGATTCTCTCATGTCTGTGAGTTTCTCCACACTTGTGCAGCGTGCACGCCCGGCCTCCCACCACGCCACTTCGCAGGCCCTGCGGGATGTCCTCGCGAAACTCCCGCCGACGCACATCTCCACCGTTGGCGCCGCCGGTGTGCGTGTGGCGAGCGAACGTGCCATTGGAGCCCCCGCTGCTCTCAACACCACCGCAGCGGCGGCGGCTGCGAAGACGACGGCACCCCGCACGGCGACGGTGGGCGTGTGGTTGGACGCCGGCACCCGCGACGAGGCGGCGACGGCGGCGGGGACGGCCCGAGTGCTGCACGCCTGCGGCCTGCGGGGGACGGAGTCGCACACGCAGCAGCAACTCGCCCGCGCGGTGGATGAACTCGGCGGTCAGATCTCCATCGACGTTGGCCGCGAACACACACGGCTGGTGATGCAGGTGGCCCGCGCCGACACGGAGAAGGCCGTCGCGCTGCTCGCCGACGTGGTGCGGAATGCCCGACTGAGTGATGCGGATGTGCAGGCGGCGAAGGAGACAGTGCTGCGGGAACAACACGACTTTGAAAAGCGACCGGATGATATCTGCATGGATAACTTATTCCGCTGCGCCTACGATAGCACCACACACGGACTGGGCACACCACTCTACGGCACAGAAACAGGCGTCGCCCGCGTAACGGCGGAACAATTAAAGACGTATCGCAACAATATTTTGCAGGGAGATCGCGTGGTGGTGGTGGGAGCCGGTGATGTGGACCACACCGCACTGGAGCGGGCCGCTGAGATGTACTTTGGGGATTTACCAAAGGGAAGCCGCAAGGTAGGTAATAGTGTGAAGAGTAACAATCGCGGTAATCTTCCCGAATCCCACTACGTGGGTGGAGAATATAAATTGTGGAATCTCCGCTACAAGACGGTTCATATTGCCTGGGCATTTGAGACCTGCGGTGTGGCCTGTGAAGATTCCCTTCCACTCGCCCTGGCGTGTGAGATTCCCGGACCATTTCATCGTTCCCAGCATGAGTTGGGACAACATGCGATGCATCGTGTGTTAAAGACCTTCTGTTCACTGGACCACAGCACCCCAACCAACACTCACTTTAACGAGAAGTGTATTGAGATTGCCAATCCATTCCTGCACCAGTACAGAGATACAGGTCTGTGCGGTATGTACATTGTCGGTCGTCCAGCCCAGAGTGGACCTGGTGATGCGGGTGCGATGATTGAAGTCTTCCAGTACACCATGGCTGAGTGGTGCCGTATCTGCCAGAAGATGTTGCACAAGAATGAATTGGAACAGGCAAAGGTAAACCTTAAGGCACAATTACTGTTTAACATGGATGGCAGCATGAACTCTGCGGAGGATATTGGACGTCAAGTCTTACACTACGGACGCCGTATTCCACTGGAGGAGATGTACGCACGTATTGATGATGTCACTCCCACCAACGTGCAGGAGGTGTTGCAGCACTACTTCTATGGCCGTAAGCCAGTATACAGTTATCTTGGCTACTGCGCCAATATCCCTGGTTATGACTGGACCCAGCACTGGTCATACAAGTACTGGTATTAGAACCAGAGAGAGAGAGAAAGAGAGGGAGAGAGAAGAAGGAAAAGGAAATAGGGTTGTCTGTTTACATATGCATATGTGGGTTTATGCCGGGGGGAGATGGATAGAAAGAGAGAGAGAGAGAGAGAGAGAGAGAGGATTAGGATGAAGCTTGTTGGGGGTTGGAGAGGAGAGAGGAAGAAAGAGAGAGAGTGTGTGTGTGTTTGTATTTGCATATGTAATGAACGTATGGAGAAGAGGAAAAAAAGGGAAAGCAAAAAAAAAAAAGAAATAAAAAGGAGAAAGTAGAGAGAAAGAGGGAGAGGGAGAGAGATGGAAGAAAGAGACTTCTGGAATGATGATGATTATCCCAATGGAAGAAAAAAAAAGTTAAAAAAAAAAAGAAAAAAAGAATGGTCTAGTGAGATGAGGGCCGGTATTGGGAGAAAAAGAAAAGAGAAGAGTCGATTGAAAGGCAAAAGAAAAAAAAAAAGAATAGGAAAGAAAGAAAAAAAACATGAATTCATAAGGGATGCTGGAATTGGGATGATCTGAAGGGAGAGAAGGAGCTTTTCCTCTACCCTCTAAGTTCCCTTTACACACATTGATTTTGTGTAATGTGTTTCTCTCTGTGTGTGAGTATATCTGTACGGTTGTCTCTCCATCCCCCTCCTCCATCTCTCTTTTCTTTCTTTCTCTCTGTATGAATTATCCACCTCTCTCTCTCTATATATATATATACGTCTCCACTGCAATAAGCGAATAGTTGAATGCTTTATGGAATATGTTTGGTTGAGGTACATCAAGGCGAGGGGAGGGTTGGAGAGGTAATAGGAAGGAAAAGGAAAGCAAGGAATGTCTGAGAGGGAAATGTATATATATACATTTACACTAATACTTGTAGCAGTAGTAGTAGTGCTGTTGGTGGCGGATAGAGAAGGAGAGAAAGTAGCAATGAGGAATTTTTGTCACGTAGCAATATTAAAAAGAAAAAAAAAAGAATCTCTTTGTTGTTGTTCGTTTTTTTTTTCTCTTGCATCTTGCCGTGCCTCTTGTGTATAATTCATTTCTGTCAATTGTCGGTCTTTTTGCATAAATATCGCTTTGCCTTTTTTTTTTGCTGCATTTTTTTCTTTATTTTATTTTGCATTCCCTTCTTTGTCACCGTATATATCCATATATGGATAGAGGTGAGAAAAGGAAGAGTATTAGCATATACAGACATATTGCAGAGATCGTGTGTGTCTTTTTCCTGTGCCACGGCAGTAGAAGGGAAAGAGAACTACACATATAGTCAAGAAATAAAAAAAGGAGTAGTAAAGTAGAAGAGCAAAGCAACATTCATTTTTGTACCAACAAAGGTAAGAAAGAAAGAAAGAAAAGAAAAAAAAAAAAACGAGAGAGAGTTGTATTCATTAAGAGGAAGTCTATTTCTTCCTTTTCTCCGATTCGTCAATTGTTATTCTCGTAGCTGGAGGAATAGAACGTGGGGTTAGTACACGACGAACCTATTTTTTTCCCCACGTCTCCGACCTTTAAATTCGCTGTATTATTTCTCGGAGAGTATCAGCGTATATTTTCTCTCTAGTCTACTACTATATTATTATCATTATTGATTAATTTTTTTTTTTTTTAGTATTGTTAGTATTTATTATTGTTATTACTGTTACTTGTTATTAGTATTACTGTTTGAGTTGTATATACATTCAATATGCAGCGAATTACAGCACTTGTGCAAGAGAAACTGCGGCGTGAGGCTCTCAATCCAAACAGAGCTCTTTCCTCAGAAGAGACGGTGAATCCCCAACGCAAACGCCATACCAGCGCTAATACGAATACAAATATAAATATTAACGGTAATGTTAACGGTATCCTTCTTTACCCAGGTGCCAATTCAGACAACAGGTTGGGCAGACGCAGAGAATCTCACTCTCATTACTGTTGGCTCTGCGCACAACGTGGTGAATTCTTTTTAGATGCCGAAAAAGAAATGACACTTTGTTTTAATTGCTTTCGAACAGCATTTTGCGCTTTTGCGTTGCCACACATCGATACCCCGAAGCGGCGGGAAACGGCTGGGAATTTCATTGCAAAGATCCAGCGACTTAAAGAATATGAAGCGGCCACTTTACCGAAACGAACAGGTCCTTCCGTGAATAGTAATAGTAATAATAATAATAATAATAATAATAACAGCACCAGTAGTGATAGTGGGAAGTATAAGAACAATGGTAGTTCAAGTCCGTATGGGAGTACATCCGTTGAAGGAGATACGGTGGAGGTGTCATCACCGATGCAGGCGAGTTTTGTGATGGGTAGATCCATTATGCGGCAACGGAATTCTCGACAGAGTGAAGGTAATATAACCCGTGTGCCCACAAATAATAATAATAATAATAATAATAATAATAATAATAATAATAATAATACGGTTACTACTAGCAACGGTAATAACAGGGATGAAGCTGTAGAGGACTGGACGTGTCCACGTTGTACATATCTAAACAACCCATCTTCTCCTCTTTGTGGGGCGTGTGGATTACAAGCATATGGTGTACTGAATTGCCCATGTTGTGGAATGGAGTGTCGAATGGATGATGAACGTTTAACAAAGTGTCCGGTAGTTGGGGTTTTACATATTGTTTGGTGTTGTCGTTTCTGTCGAGCTGTGCAGGCATTAGATGGGGATCAATGTGCTTATTGTAATGCCCCACTTATGTGGGCCTGCAGTCATTGCACAATGGTGCAGCGATCTGTGAGTGGAAGTGAGGGACTGCGGCAGTGTCAGGAGTGTTGGGCCTACGCCACTCCACTGGAGGTGATTAGATCTCGTCCAGATCTCGATAATAGTCTCAACTCCGTACTTTCCCAGCAGAGTAATAATAATAACAATAATAATAATAATAATAATAATAATAATAATCATACGTATCCTATAGGGTTGAAGAGAGGAGGAGGAGAAGAAGGAGCTGTTAGTTCTCGAGGGGCAATGTATGCAGAGAGTGCCTTCACAGCACCACTGGAGGAGTTTGGTGTAAATGACGCCATCACACTTGCAGAGATGTCGCGACAACAGGCATTAGCAGAAGCAGACGCACGACTAACCCAACGCATGAGAAAACTGGGCACGGAACATTTAAATACACAAATATCCGATGGGAATTGTCTTTTCCGTGCATTAGCAAGTCAACTCTTTTCACAACCCCGTGATCATACATTAATACGAGAACTTGTTGTTTCTTATATGTATGAACACGCCAATAGTTACTCTGTTTTATTTGATGGAGAAATGGAGTGGAAATCGTATTTACATAAAATGCGGCAAAGTGGATGTTGGGGTGATGAACTCTGTCTTAATGCCGCTGCCCGTTGTTTTCATGTGAATATTCACGTCATTACAAGTGAGGAGAGTCGATGGCATCTTGTCTTTCAACATGATGAACTCGAAACCTCCAATTCCTTACTTTTACCACAAACACAAACACCAAAACAAATACAGAAAACAAGACGAGAAAAACTAAGAGAGGAAGAAGAAAATAGATGGATTCCATCTACTGTACGGCCATTGTCTGCACGCTCCAGGGCTTTACGTAGATCCACATCCGGTTTCCCCTCCGAATCCCCATTACACACCCCATATCAACAAGAGAATGGAGTTTGTTTGTTTCTCGTCTACAAAGCCCCTGTACACTATGATGATGTCTCACTTCCACATATCAGAAATGTGTACGATGTGAGAGGAGATCTCAAACGTGAACTTCTCAAATTATTCAGTCGTGAACAGGAGTCTTTTCGCGCCGCCAAGGAAGTAAAGACCATCAGACAAGTACGTGAATACACAAAACCACCCCCGGCAGTATCCAGACGACAAATATCTCCACCAGCCAGGCGTTGGGATGGGGGAAAAGGGAGAAAAGACGGAAATGCGACTTCCCCAACACCATCACCATCACCACCGGGACAATTAATACAACTTCAACAACACCTACAACCGCCTCCACCAGCAACACCACCGAAACGACGGGCTTCACCGAGTAGTGGTGCAAACTTCTATAGACGAGATGAAATATAACTTCTTCTTCTTTTTTTCTCTTTCTTTCTGTGTGTGTTTATATATATATATATATATATATATAGTTCTATGTCTTTGTATATCTCACTGTATGTTTGGGTAGTTAGTTGGTTGGTTTCTCTGTCTGTCTGGGAGAGAAAGAGAAAGAAAAAGAGAGAGAAGGAAGGAAGAATTAAGAGAGAGAGAGAGAGGGAGAAAGAGAGGCAGCGATAAAGAAGGGGGAGAAAGATAGTGTTGGAGAGACGGTAGTTTAGATTCCTTAATGAGCAGATGGGAATAGCTGAAAAGAGAAAAGAGGAAAGAGGTTTAGTTAAACGTGGTAATAAGAAGAAGACTTTATCTACATAGAGATATCTTTGGATTTATGTGAAGAGAAAGAGGGAAAGAAAGATGGATGAAGAGAGAAAAAGAGAGAAAGAGGGAGAGAGTTGAAAATAAAAGGGCACCACGAGTTTACTGCAGAAAAATAAAATAAAGGCGCAAAGGGAAAATAAAAAAAAACGAAAACAGCAATGATGTAATATTATTTATGTCATCTAAAAAAGAAGGAAGAAAAAAGAAAAAAAAAACGAATGGATAAATAAGTTGATTTTTTTTTTTTTTTTTTGCAGGTGCTCAAGAAACCTTTTTTTTTTTTTTTACAATTCTCTAAGTCTTCTCTCAGTAGTTGTGCACGTCTGTCTGTCTGTGTGAAAGTGAGTGTGTTCATATTGTCATTTCGTTCTTTTTGTTTGTTTTGTTTTTTTAATGTCTCTTTCTTTTTTTTTATTTCTGTTGACGACGGTGATCTCCTTTCACTCGTGCATAAGTTGTGCCCATGTGTTTTTTT